GTGTGTGTGTGTGTGTGTGTGTGTGTGTGTGTGTGTGTGTGTGTGTGTGTGTGTGTGTGTGTGTGTGTGTGTGTGAGAGACCAACTTCTCCTACTCCTTGTTTTGCCAAGACACAGCTCCCATGCGAGAGGGGATTCTGTTGGAATTCCTACTCTGTGTGTGTGTGTGTGTGTGTGTGTGACTGACAGATTAATGCACATGTTTTGCTGAGTATGTATGAGGGGAAGGGGGAAGGGGGGGGGGCTGTAGAGGAGAGCTTCAGACGGACGTGTTGACATTGATCTGCCTGAACTGAATCTGATCAGATCAATAATCCAGAATGAGACTGAACACAGTTTTGTGAAGGAGTGAAGAGTTGAGAAAGAGAAACGCGCGTCTTGCAGCTGCTCATTCAGCAGCTGCTCAGATGGATGATGGGAGAAGACGCACGGCAGTTTCTTGTTCCTGGTGTAACTCACGGTGACGCCGTCCCTCAGCTGCTGATCACGTGACTCAGAATTCGTCGGCATCTTTGGCGACGCTGAAACAACACTTTTTTTTATTTCTCTCTCTCTCGTTTGGCCCAAAGTGTTTCAAACTATGTGACGTTTACAATCACCAGACAGGAAGTGACACAGATTTTAAGATGTTGACGCACAAAAAAAAACACAAACTTCCTGTGCGTGGTTTTCGTAACATCCGACTGATTCCGGTGTACGTGTGTGTTTGTGTGTGTTTGTGTGTTTGTGTGCAGGTGGGCTGCTTCGACCCGTACAGCGATGACCCCCGGCTGGGCATCCAGAAGATCAGCCTGTGCAAATACAGCAACAAGCTGGTGGTGGCTGGAACAGCTGGACAGGTGAAGACGCACGCTAAAGCAAACGTGATCGTACTGAGATCTGTTTCTGCTTTTAAACCACATGTAGAAATGATATTTAGATGTGTTGAGAGGGACCAGCAGAGCGCCGCGTTGCTGTGGGCGGGGCCACGGGAAAGGAACACTTTTAAAAAACGCCCACAGAAACAATCCAATATCCGTTCAGACGAAGACAGTGCACAGGTGTAGGTGTGGTTGGTGCGTAGGAATACTGTAGTTCAGCGGTTGAAGATTAAAGCTGCAGCTGAACTGAATGAGCCACAGTGTTTCTTGACTTCCTGCGTGTCTCCAGGTGATAGTGTTGGGTTTGAGCGACGAGCGCTCGGACCACGTGGTGGACGTGTCGGTGGTTGACCTGCTGCAGGACAGGGAGGGCTTCACCTGGAAGGGCCACGACAGACTGGAGCCGCGCCTTAAACCCGCCCCCTTCCCCCCGGGCTTCCAGCCGCTGGTGCTGGTGCAGTGCCTGCCCCCGGCCTCCGTCACCGCCGTGGCGCTGCACGCAGAGTGGAACCTGATCGCCTTCGGGACGAGTCATGGGTTCGGCCTGTTTGATTACCACCGACGAAACGCTGTGCTGGCCAGGTTAGAAACACACATACATATATACATGCATAGGACACGGGCGTCTGACAAATGAACCAAACTCGACCCAGAAAGCCACGCTCTACTTCCTGGTTGTGCCTCCAGGTGTACCCTGCACCCTAATGACTCGTTGGCGATGGAGGGGCCCCTGTCCAGAGTCAAGTCCCTGAAAAAGTCCCTACGGCAGAGCTTCAGGCGCATCCGCAAGAGCAGGGTGTCGGGGAAGAAACGCACCATCACCAGCCCCGCCAGCAAGGTAAATGACTCTCTCTCCGTTTGTACGAAGCTTCACTCAGAACAGAGAGACTGAATCCATCTGTGACAGGTCCAAGAGGCCAACGCCGCTTTGGCAGAGCAGGAGGAAATGGCGCCCGTACAGCGAAGGATTGAACCCCGGTCAGCGGACGACTCGCTGTCTGGAGTGGTCCGATGTCTTTGCTTCGCTGACACCTTCCTGCGTGACGGTGCGTTCACTTCCTGGTTGAGATTGTTGACTGGACGTAGAGCTGTCACTCTGACAGATCAGTGTTTTGTTTTTATTATTGATATTAATCATTACTCCGCTCCAACCGCCAGGTACACACCATGGCCCCACACTATGGGCGGGCACCAACTCGGGCAGCGTGTACGCCTACGCTCTGGAGGTTCCCGGCGTGGGCTCGGGCCGCGTGTGTGAGCGGGGCGGGGCGAGCGAGAGCAGTGTGTGCGTGGAGGCGGTGTTGGGCAAAGAGATTCAGCTGATGCACAGGGCTCCCGTGGTGTCGATCTGCGTGTTGGACGGCCGGGGGAAACCGTTACCGGACCCGTACGAAGCCTCGCAGGACCTCGCCATCGCACCGGATATGACCAACGCTCACTCTGTCCTCATCGCGTCAGAGGAACAGCTCAAGGTGGAGACGGAAAAACTCTCTTTGTATCTGAGAGACTGTCAGAGACTCAGGAAGTTACAGTCTGTCTCTCTCTCTCTCTCTCTCTCTCTCCCTCCCCCTCTCCCTCCAGGTGTTCTCTCTCCCCAAGGTGAGCGCCAAGACCAAGTTCAAGCTGACGGCACATGAAGGCTGCCGGGTGAGGAAGGTGGCGCTGGTGGTGTTCAGCTCCACGGCTCAGGAAGAGTACAGTGAACACACACTGGTGTGTCTGACCAACCTGGGAGACATGCACCTCTTTAACATCCCGGGCCTCCGACCACAGGTGGGGCCTAGGGGCGGGGCTTAGGGGGACGGCTGTGTGTGTGTGTGTGTGCATTTTAATGGTGTTTATAGTAACTGTGCAGTGTTATTGGTACCATTGGAAAAAGAATGATTATGTGTGTGCTCTCTCTCTCTCTCTCTCTCTCTCTCTCTCTCTCTCTCTAACTTGAAAAGAAAAGAGTGATGAACCTGCTGACGCGAACTCGCTGTTCAATACTTTGCAACTTTTAAAAAGCATTAAACAACAAGTTCATCCCAGAGGGTTCATCACTCTTAAGTGTCCCCCCGGAAACACTTCCTGTAGCGAGTATTTGCAGCTGTATCTATTAGTTTGAGTTTTGTCTGTTTTAATGTGTTTTCCTGTAGTTGCAGTGCTTTGACCTCTCAGAGCCACCGTAGCATCGCGACAGTGCTGACGATTCCCACCGCTGCTTATCACTGATGTCTTCTTTGTGTGCCCTCAGGTGCGCTACGACTGCATCCGCAAAGAAGACATTAGCGGCATTGCATCCTGCGTTTTCACCAAGAACGGACAGGGTGAGGAGATAAAAAGTGAAAACGCCGTTTCATTCAGACACTGGCAACTATAAGATGTTTAACATTTTCAACAATGAAACAAGACAACACCTCGAGACACAATGCAGGGAGAGATGAGGACAGTCAGACCAGGTGAAGGGTCAGTTCACAAGAAGTATTGTCTCACACTGTGGTATCAAGCCATGCAGATAGTTTTGGTTTTGTTTTCCAACACTCTGAGACATCTGTTTGTTTGAGACCTCGGCCTCCACCCCGGTGCAGCGGAGGTGAAACATTATATTAAAAAAATATCAACAAGAGCATTTCTCTCCAGGACAATGAGACATTTTTCACAGCTGAAGTCGTAACGGTCTAATTTAGGGTGACTCAGATGTCCATGTTTTCCAGATGTCTAGCGTTGCACTTGTTTTTGTCAACAGAGGGGGCTGGTCGTTAGCTACAGCAGCTTCAGAAATAAAGTTATCCAAATCATTTTTTTTTTTTGTCTCTAGGCAGAGAAAAGGTTAGCTGGCTCACTCATTGGTCAGGAGTTCATAACAGGCTGTGAACTAACAAAAACTAACATTCCCAAATCCTCAGAGCTGGGACTTGAATGAATAGTTTTTATGTTTGAAGAAGTGAAGAAGAAGAAGTTACTCGACTGTCTGCAATGAATCACAACCTCGAATACTCTTCTTTTGATCTGCAGACACAAGGAATATAAATAATGGAGGAACAGACAGACAATTGGACCTTGTGATAGCTTCCAATGTAGGGAGTCGTTTTGATCAATCGTCCTTCACCATAGTTTATTACAGTACAACAGTTTCCATGGTCAAAATACATGAAACCAAGACTGTTTCCCCTTTTTTATGTCATAGAAACATTATATATTTTAATTATATATTGACACTTTAGTCTAACTGCTGTTTTTTGTTTGTTTGTTTGTTTGTTTGTTTGTTTGTTTGTTTGTTTGTTGTTCCCACAGGCTTTTACCTGATCTCCCCCTCAGAGTACGAGAGGTTCTCACTGTCTGCGAAGGTCCTGACTGAGCCGCTCTTCTCTGTGCAGTTGGACCGGCCGCTAGAGCCCACACCTGCCAGGTAACACACACACACACACACACACACACACACACACCTCTACCAAATTGCATTCCTGATGTATTAATTGACGACTACAGGGACACCCAAACTCTTCCAGTTGAACTGAATGTAGGTGAACATGAGATCAAGCACACCTGAACGTTTCTTATACTGACTTACATAACTTGCATATCGCTTAATATCAGTAGCAAAGTAAGTATAAAATTTAACAAATGATGGGAAATAAAAGTGAGAGAATAGTAACAAATATATTTCATATTTTCTGAGGACCCACCCTAAGTCTATTAAGGACCCTTGGTGGTCCCTGGACCCCACGTTGGGAACCACTTGAGCTTTAGGCGCTCAGCTGCATGTGAAACCGAAGAAATGAAACTTTCTCACTGTTATTGCTTCGTTGTTGCTCCGTCCACGGCCAAAGTAAACGGCGTGTGCTCGTGTGTCTCCTCAGCGACGGTACGACAACGCAGCCGCAAGCCAACGGAACCCACAAGAACCAGATGGGTCAGGCTGAGGGTAGGTCCAAACACACACACACACACACACACACACACACACACACACACACACGCCTTCCTCTTTTTATTTCTCTCCCACTTCATCTCTCTCTCTCTTGTCTCTCTGAACCTCTTAAACCCTCGATCAGACCTGGCAGGGGTTCCCATCTCATCTCATCTCCATGGCAACCATTCAGTATGCCCCAGTTGCCTCTCCTGCCCGGCACCTCCCTCCCTGGCAGGAAGTGATGGTTGTTGTGGCGACCAGCGTAGGCCAGTTTGTTTATGTCACTGAAACCTCAGACTTTAAGAACCACTCATTCAGACGACGCAGAATGTTTTAATGTTTTTTTCCCCCATTTTGACAAATTGTAAGAATTAATGCAGCATGAAAAGAGTTTAAAGGAAGGAATGCGGCTTTTAAAGACTTAACCAGCTTTTAACTTTCTCTTTTTGATGTTGTTTTGATTTCAGTAACAACCTTTTTTTTTGCAAATACTTTTATTTTTCTCAGAGGAAAGAACGGGAGGAAGGATGTGTGGCAGCATTCGAACAACTTGAGTAAATTTTGTGAAATCGTCACTTTCCCGATCTGTTAAACTCTCTAAGAACTCTGACCTCGACACGGTGAATGTGTTTCGACACAGTTGATTATGAATTTCACAGAGGGGATAATTAAAGTATCTATCTCTCTATCTATTAGCATTAATTTCGAGTCCTATTTGAAGCCGCTGGATGAACATGTTCCCTCTCTGTGTTTGGTCTCCACCACCTCCTGAGGGAAGTATCTGGCTCTTTAGCTGCTAAATGCTCCACTGTGTTCAGCAGCTGGTCGCCAACTCCTCTCACGTTACAAGTAGTTATAACGTATTGTTCACATAGAAGTGTTTGACGAGAGCAGCTTTAAATGTTCAAAACCAAATCTGAAAAATCATTTAGTGTCTCCACCATTTCTATGCCGTAACATTTCAAGTGTATTTGTTGGGGTCAAGTCACAAACATCCTCCAGCCCCTGACTCTCTGGGTTCCTCTCTCACAGGGCAAACAGAGGGGCCCCCCAGCTCCCTGTCCTCCCCCGTCCTGGACACCCCACTGGACTCCCCCCTCAGCTGTGCTGACCTCACCCTCGACTCCACAGGAGAAATCACGGTGGAGGACGTCAGGGACTTCCTAACGTAGGCGTACACATTTACATGCACACGTACTCTCAGCTGGCGTCTTTAATTCATTTTCAGGAGTTAATTACTGGTGTGTGTGTGTGTGTGTGTGTGTGTGTGTGTGTGTGTGTGTGTGTGTGTGTGTGCAGCACTGTGGACGAAGCAGAGAATAACCTGAAGAACATTAAAGAGGAGGAGGGACGCTCGACCGGCATCCTCATCAACTGAACAGGTGAGACGCAGAGACGGATGAGCTGCTTTCATGTTCACTCACATTTCTCCTGCAAACTCAACAGTACGAGCAGATGCATGAGCGAGTGGACACACACACACACACACACACACACACACACACACACACACACACACACACACACACAGACACCTGTTTCTAATGGAGCTGGTCCAGAGTGTGCAAACTTCAAAGACTTCGTTCTGTCTGAGCGCTGCATTCCAGTAACGAGCCGTCCGCTCTGTTTTCCCGCTCGGTGCCTTTGAAAAGTCGGTGGAGCAGAAATCATTTCCACCAACTGACTGATGAGCTTTTCACCGTCTCACACTCGGGGTCACGGTGTTTGTTCCCTTGCTCTGTCCTCTGCCTGTGACCTCTTTATTCCCTTTTATTGTTTATTCACGTTTATGTTTTGTTTTGTTCAGTTTTTCTTTTCTGTTTTCTTGAGCCAGCTGTGTCTACCTCCTTTAAACAGCTGATACTGACCTCAGCTGCTTCTCGGTGGTTTAATGACAGGAACACGTTTATCATTAGGGAGAAGCTCAACATGGCGTGAAGCGATGAGACACGTTTACCTCCTCTGCACTAATAGCACTGATCCATCCAGTTCCATCAGTCTGCACCCACAGGACTCAGATCAGGAGGAGGTTGTTGTTTACGTCTCCTTCCTCTGCGCTGTTTTATAACTCTGCTGCCCCCTGCTGGTGCCATCTGAAGCTACAGCGTAACACACAAGTCAACTTAATAGTCTTTATTCATTATGTTCATTTTTTAACTTATTGAAAAAATATAAAATATTGAATTTGTTATATTTATATATATTATTAGTATTTTAGATTCTATATTAATAAGATATTTTTTCATTATTGATTAATCATTTAATCTTTAACCTTTTTTTGTTTATCTATAAAATGCTAAATTAACGCGTGACAGATGATGTCACATTTTACCAGAGCACAAAGCGACTTCTGTAAATTTTTCTGAAGAACTGCAAAACTCAAAGATTAAACTGAAACGAATCCTCACATCAGAGAAGCCAAAGCTTTGTTTTTTTGGTTTTATGAAGCTGATCTGTGTCTTAATGTTGAAAATGTTGACGTCTTGCTCATGTTCTCCTCTGATTGCTGTTGAAGTATTACAGGGAGGGGCTCGAGTGGTCTGGATGGACTTGGATTTCAGTGCTGCACCACAAAACATCTCCCATCAGCCCTCACTCGGAGCCCCAGCCAGCACTCTGCACCCTCCTGGCACAGACCGGGGAGGAAAGCCTCACTATGGACAAAGAACACATTGAAGACTCTGTTGTGGCTTCTTCTCCTGGAAGAACTGAATCTTCTTCTCCTGTAACACTTTGGAAACACACAAAGTCCAACTGAGGACGGACTCGGAGCTCACGATTCCGGTTTCAAGAACGTATCCATCTTTGACGCTCGGTGCGGATCTAGTCAGCCCCCCCCCCGCCCCCCACCCCCACCCCCCCCACAACAAACGCTCACACCAAGGACCTCTAGATATACTGTTTGCCCAGCGAGGACACCTTACAACAACCCAGTGTGGGCAACACCATATTCTTGAACATAAAAAGTGCTAACTTCCCAAGTCCTAATTTAACACCTCACCCCCGCACTATTATTTTAATAATATTATTTGATGGTTATGCCCTTTCCATACCCTGGGAAATTACAATGTGCCTGAATGACATTTACAACCAACAAGTATTCCCTTTAGCCATTTTAAACCTTGCATTTGCCAATCCCCTGTACGCCTATTTATCCATGCCCAATTTACTCTGACGAATTTCCAAGTGGCTCGGCAATTGGAACTCGGCACTCGTTAACCAACATTTCTACGAAGCTCAGTCACAACCCGGGAATGTGGGTCCCATCCATTTTTTTGCTCACCAATCACTACTCAGTTGTATCTTACACACTACTGCAATCCTCCGAATCAGATTTTTTTTTGCACCAGAACACCACCAACTGCCAGACAAAGGCTTCCCCAGTGAACCCCTCATACATTCTAACTAAATGTCCCAACCAGTTACCCTGCTTTGCGCACAGTCGAAGTAACTGTTTAAGTAAAAAATATCCTGCACCCACCAGGTTCGTCTTGGACCCCCCTGGGTTTTGTTCCTACCAATATGGTTACCTGTGCGGTGATTTTGCTGTGACAGGAAGCTTTGGACCACGGACAGAGACTCCCTCTCCACCTTTTTGTGTTGAATAAATACTGAAGTTTGGTCCCCCAGATTTTCACAACAAACCCAGGCAGCACTTGCCCAGCTTAACCTGCCAAAATGTTGCTCGCGCAAAAAGAATCCAAAATGAGAACCAAGCAGTTGCGGGGACAGGACTGGAGCGCGGCCTGTTTTAGCATGTCCTGTGCCCTTACGACCAAACTTCGTCTCCACTAATCCAGTCCTATGCTTTACCACCCACCCCTAACACCACGAACTTCACATCACATACACCCACCAAGTTCTCGTTTTTTTCTCTCCTTCCTGGCCCCCCAACAAAAACTTTTTTTTTTTTTTTCCTCCCACCCTTGTGACAAGACACACACACTCCAAAACCAGCCCACGAGTGATTCCCAATAGTTTAAAACTTGTTAGATTTATCCCAATCCCAGCTAAACCTGCCGCGACAAGATATTTTCCTGTACTTAACTAAATCACAGATTGAACACGTCCTTTGACAGATTGAAAAAGCAGAACTATTCCCCTGGTTCTTCTTGGCAAAAATGACATCGACCAACTAGACGAGCAAACCTATGTCCCAAACAGTACAAATGTAGAAGCTGGCGACAAAAAACCACCACACCAACCAAGTCTAATAATCAGTCAACAGCCCATAGTTGCACATAACAGCCTCTGAATAATCAAGCTTATCACTCTATTTGTTTGGTTCTTTTGCTGTCCATTACTAGACCTCCGTTAGAGAGATACCTGCTTCGGCCGGGGACACTCGGTCAGATATCCCTGGCAACTTATAGACGCGCTTGGTAAAACGTGGCTTTGTGTTTCACGTGAACCCAAAATCAGGGTAGTTATTAGGACAATGCTTGCTCCATCAAACCAATGGGTCAAGACACCTTAACCAGAGGGCATGTGTCGAGCAAATACACCAAGAAAAGAAGCAGCCAATGGCGTCTGAGTCGTAGGCCACATTCCCCAGTGCAACAAGTTTAGATGTAAGAGTGCTGATGCCATTGCTGCTTTCAGCAGAGACCACTGGAGCAGTCTACCCGAGATTTTCCTGCAAGGTTCTGACACAAGCGCAACAGAACAGAGGAACCAAACAGTAAAGGCCCTCTGCAGACCCAAAGCTAAATGGTCACCCAATACATTGTTTAAGACAGAACTCTGCCATCCCAAAGGAACATATGCTCTTTCAACTAAGTGTGCGTTTTTACGCCAACATTATCTCTTTTCCCTTTTTGAGAAGTGCCAAGACTGGAACCTCTCGTTGCCCTGTACATCACGTCTTTTTTTGGTCATCTAACACCTAAAATTTCAAAAAGACCCAGACCCCTCGTACCCAGTCTACCATTTCCCCCTAATGTTTTGCATAGCTCGCACATGTTCTTTTGATTTTACATGTGCCTCAGGTTTTCAGGATAACCTGCCTTCCCTTCTAGGATTTCTCTCGCTACAATCCCAATACCCAATGAGGGCAACATTCCTTCCACTTACTGCATCCTATCCACAAAAACTCGCAGGAGAAGCAAGCACAGGTCTCTTTCCCAGAAAAACCTAAATACCCCCAACCAGCCCTCTGGTT